GGTTCCGCGGCTCCTGGTTGTGCGGGGAGGGGGGGGCGGCCTCGGTGCGGGGAAGCGGAGCCCGCAGCGCCGCCAGCGTCTGGAAATGAGGAGGGGGCGCGGCGCGGGGTGCGGGGATTGGGAACGGGGATTGGAAGGGGGACGGCCGCGGGGGGGTCGGCGGCGCTGCTTCGACGCCCCGAGGGGAGGGGAGCGGTGGCGGAGCGGGGCGGGGGGCGCCGAGCCGCAGCGTTGCCCGGGGGGGGGCGGAGGGGCTGCGCGCGGTGCGGGCGGTGGGCGCCGCCTCTCCGCTCCACCTCGGAGCGCGGAGCGTCCGTCCGTAAGGCGAGAATTCAAAAAGAAATCCCTGCGGAGGTGCGGGAATCGGCGCGTTTCGGTGCTGCGGGCGGTGCGGTGGGAGCTGCGTTGGGATCGGCGCGCGGTTGTAACGCGGGGCTGTGCGGGTCTCCCTGCGGCTCCGCTCTCACGGCTGACTCACGCGATGCTGGGGATTCATTCGTGCTCGGCGGCGGCTGCTGCTCTGTAGCGGTTCCCATCTTGCTTTCATCTCCATTGGTTTGGCCGTTGATGCGCTGTTTGTGTGTCTGTTTTTTAGCCGGAGTTCGTTTTTTTCTGAGCAAAAATGTGTTTCCTAAGGTACCTTTCAGCATTTCAGGCTATGCACGCTAGATTGACTTTCTGTGAAACCTTCAGAATGCAAGTCTACGTCGAACGCAACCTTTAGAATGGAGAAACCCTCAAACGTAGCCGGCAGATCGGGCGAAATGTCAGTTGTTTTTTACTGCAGCAATGCATGCAGGCACACCCACCTTCCAGCCTGTGCTGCTCTCGATGGATGGCAGCGTGTGGCACAGTGCGTGGCGGTGCCTCTGGCCCAGATGTGCGTCCCTCAGCACAGCTGCACGCAGCGGGTCCTGCAGGCTGTGCTTCCCATCTGCTTTTGCAGCAGAATGCTTCACCTGCGAGCTCTCCTGCATTGCTTACAGCAGGTTGGAGGGTTGCTGGCGTAGAATCTTAGTCTGCCTTTCATTTCAGGGTGCTGTTACATCAGTAATAGCTTGTGGATGCCCCATCCCTGCAGGCATTCAGGGCCAGGCTGGATGTGGCTCTGGGCAGCCTGGGCTGCTGGTTGACGACCTGCACACAGCAGGGGGTTGGAACCAGGTGATCATTGTGGTCCTTTTCAACCCAGGCCATTCTATGATTAATAGAATATATAACTTATTTTATTAAACAACAAAAGCAAAAGGAGCTGGGAAGCTCTCTAGAGCTAAACCAAACCAACATAAAGCCCGTGGTGCATTGAAGAAGGGGAAAAGAAAAAAACACAAAACCCGCAGAACTTTGTGTACGAGTTCTTATGTAAGTTATGTTCTTCTCTACCCTTCATGCAAGTTTTTCCTTCTCTAGAGCTGGGCTCTGCTGGGAGGTGTGAGCTCAGCCAGTGCCCAGTGCAGTGCTGTGCCTATGGGATGTGGGTGAAGCCTTGGGTGTCTCCAGGAGCAGCACTTCCAGGTGTGTACAAGTCCATCAGGGCAGTCTCACAGCCTTCCTTGTGTCATTCATTGGAACTCTTGCAGTCAGCTTCATCACTCCAAATGGCTTCTTGTGCCACTGGGATGGGGCTTTGTGCCCAGCATGGTTAACACGTAGGCGTGGACATTGGTGAGCACTGCATGCATCTGTGGAGTGAGCTCTGTGCTCATCACCTTGCTGGGAGCAGCCGACCTGCTGGTGGTTCCTGACTGCCACAGAATCATAGAATGGCCTGGGTTGAAAAGGACCACAATGATGATCATCTGGTTCCAACCCCCTGCTATGTGCAGGTCGCCAACCAGCAGCCCAGGCTGCCCAGAGCCACATCCAGCCTGGCCTTGGATGCCTGCAGGGATGGGGCATCCACAGCCTCCTTGGGCAACCTGTTCCAGTGCCTCACCACCCCCTGGCTGAAAAACTTCCTCCTCATATCCAACCTAAACCTCCCCTGTCTCACTTTAAAACCATTCCCCCTTGTCTCATCACCATCCACCCTTATAACTCTTCTCCCAAATGCACATGTTCCCTTCTGCTCTGAGGTGAGCAGCATTCCTGCTGTGTGCACTGCACAGACACCTGTGTTCAGAGCCCACTGCATCTGCAGATGTTTGCAGGGATGAGGAATGGGACCATTCTTATGTTTTATTTGCTAAGTGGACTTTGAGCTTCAAGAAACAATTTCAGCTTATGCTCCTATGAATTACTCTAGTCCCATTACTTTACAGATGTGGAATGCAGCTGTTTGGTTTACATTCACTTAAAAAGTAGGGAGTTTGAATGCAGACCCTGCGTTAATTAAAGGGGGAAGCAGGTTGGTGTGTGTGCCTGCAGCAAAAAGAGCTGGGAACGTGGATGGAGCCCCAAAATGTGCTTGTGGCACTGCCAGCTCTGCAGCATGGGGTGGGTGGGCAGGCTGGGGGCAGCCTGCCTTGTCCTCCCATGGTGGGGGTCTGTAGTGGGAATGCTGCGTGGCTCTGATACAGGAGCTGCAGTGTTCCACATCATCAGGAAGGAAATCTCCGGAATCATCCATAGCCCTCCCTGTGTTCTTTTGGGCAGCACTCACTGCTTGTCTTCCTGATAGGTGTTGAATGATTTATTTATGCTGCTGCGGTGTGAGAAACTCCACCTTGAAAGCTTCTCTTTAAAAAAGCATCGGTAATTATAGAGTGCCGCTTTCATGTTTGACTCAGATTTATTTTCGTGCCACGCTGCCTGACTGCTGGAGGAATCATTGCTTATAAACACATGGAGCAGGCGGTTTGGTGTGTGCCATGCATGGAGAGCCACGAATCACACGTGTTGACATTGCCCATGTTTGTTATCTGCGTTGTGGAAGGAGCACAGTGTGACTGGAGGTGGATGGAGGCTCCGTGGAAGGAAGGAGCTGCTTTATTTCTCCCTTAGGAGAGGTCTGTCAGAGCCGTGGTGTTGTTGGAGCAGTGGGGTCGGCTTGTGGTTGACACAAGTGGAGCACTTGGTGCACATCCCAGCCTTCAGATCCTCATGTGTGTGAATAACCCTCTTTCTGCCCCACAACCGCTTCCATTCACGCTGCCCCAGTCCATGTGAGTTACCAAAGAGTCATCTGATGAGCACTCCTGACCCGGAGCCAGGCAGAGCAAATGCAGAGCTCTGCTTGTTCCTGGGCTGACACACGGGTGTGCAAACAGCAGATTTTGTGTGCTTTCCTTTAGCTGCAGCTCAGAGGGGCAGTGCTGTGCCTGCCTTCCTCCAGGCTCGGGGCATGGAAGCCATTTGTTCTCAGAGCCTCTCAGCCATGCTGGTGAACGTTCTGTTGCCCAAATCTTACTCTCAGAACCACAGAATGGCCATGGTTGGAAGGGACCCCAAGGATCGTGAATCTCCAACCCCCTGCCACACGCAGGGCCACCAACCTCCTCATTTAATACTAAACCAGCTGAAGTTGCTCATTGAGGTTGGATTGCAGCCATGGCTGTTGTGTAGCATGGAGTTGGAAGGGTTACGTTGGTGGAAGAAAGTCTGCTGGGTAGGTGAGCTCTTGTTTTCAATAGCAGTTGGGAATGCGTTAGTAATTAATGACGGGGAAAAGAGAGATGGCTGATCTGTGTCTGTGCAGCAGAGGACCTTCCTATTTGCTTGCTTTATTTTTCCCTTCGTGCTGCTCACGATTTAGCAGAGAGTTTTAGGGTGGTGTGGTTGGGTCGCAGTTGGGCTGGATGATCTTGAAGGTCTTTTGCAACCTGAGCAACTCTGTGTTTCTGTGGTTGTATGTCGAGGACAGGCTGGTGAAGCAGGGATCCCCACCAGCTGGGCTTTCTGTCCTTGGATCATAGAGTGTGAAGCTGGAGGGGCCCGGTGGTGTCGGAGTGGTTGGCTGATGTGTGGCTGAACCCTGTTCACAGCCCTGCCGTGCTGTGCCTGGCATCTTTCCTGGGCTGCTTCCCTCTGAGTTTGGGAATCTATTTCATATGAAGTTGGAGTGAAAAGCTGGGAGATAACTGCAGGGAGAAGATGTGAGTTGGGGTCTTCCTGGCTGTGTGTCAACGCTCAGCTGCAGGAGGACGTGTGAAAGGGCTCAGATGCTTTCTGCAGTGGTGGATGGCTCGTAGCTCCTTTCCTTTGCAGCGTGCAGCAGAGGACACGTCTGCCCTTGTGTTTGCCCCTATGCATCTCCTGCAGAGCGTGTTTCCTCTGTGCACATCTATTATTTCCTGTGGGTTCTGCATTGAGATGCTATTTCTGACAGCTGCATGCTCATGGTGTTCCAGATAGCAATCAGAAGAGGTCCAGGAGCTGAACATTGAGGGCACTGAGGTTCTTAATGCTGAGATTGTCACCTGGGAAGCATGCACCTGTGGGCAGCAGCAGCTGTGTGGCCGTGGGGGGGGGATGGCAGCGTGATGCTCAGGGCCTCTGAGTGCAGGACATTGTGCAAAAGGATGGACCTTCCCATAAGGCAGCACATCTCCTGCAAAGGGCAGGTAGTGGTCAGGGAGGGACAGCTTCCCCTCCTGGAGAGATATTATGGGAGGAATAAGGGAGGTTCTGAGCAAGGGGAAAAACAAGTGAAATGTTCTGAGGATGGACTGGCAACGTGCTGAACGTGCGGAGATAGGAAGCAGAGGGAATTGTGCATCAGGCTTCTGTGGCAGCTGTAATGCTGAGCCCGTGGAGCTGTGCAGGAGAGGGTGGGTGCAGCGAGCCATGGCAGGCAGTGCTCGTGCTGTGGGTTTTTGCTGGCCAGCCCCCAGCCCTTGGGCCCTGCAGTTCTTCTCATGGCTTTGTGTTGAAGGATTTGTCAGAATGGTGGGGTTTCATCTGCAGTGCTTCAGGTGTGGCTGCTGAAATTGGGACCTGGTACTTGCTATGTTTTTGAGCTGCTTGAATAACTCCTATTGTAAGCAGGGGGAGATCTCCCA